CCCCCCTCCCGCCCCAACCCCACTATCGCTCAAGTACCACAACAACTCTCGCGCAAACTACTAAAACTTAACTCGGTTCGATCGCCGCAGCTTACACTCGCCTGTAGGTTTAAGCGCGGGTTGCGAAACTTGTAATTCTCAACAAATAGCAGGCTTTTTTTTTCAGGGTGGGATTTCAGGCCTACCGGCTTTAATTCGGCAATAACTTTCTCGCTCAGCATCATAAATCCGTATAATCCCCTCCCCATAATTTCAAGTCTCTGTTTAAAATTCGTGCCTTCAAGCAGTGCTTCGGGTAATTACAAAAACTCGGCTCGGCTCCTCTCATACACAAGCAGCAAAAAATTTTTTCCTCTAACGGCAATTATTCCCCACGGCGGATGGCGGCAGTTTGAATGTTGCAGGTGGAAGTGGTGGTGGTATGTGCGGCTTTCATTCAAGGTATCGGAGGGGGCTAGGATAGCCGGATATAAGGAGATCCTTTGCCGATTGAATAAGTAACGCACATTTGGAGCGGAGAGGGGAGCGGTGAAGAACGGAAAGGATGAGGAAGTGTGCTTCTGGTTCCCTTTTTATGCGTTTTTTGCAGCTATGTAATGCAGAAAACGCATGTTGACGAGGGGTTGTTTGTGTGTCCGTGTGTCTGTGTGTGCGTCTGTCACGCACTTTCATCTCAGGACCCGAAATTTCGGGAACTTTGTCTGCATGCACGTGCCGGTCCCAATCCCCAAAACGGGCGCCAACACCCGCGTGGTACCCGCGTACGGGCCCACCAAAATTTTTTCGGGGTGTGTTCATAACTCGGGGATCTTAGAAGCTAGGACGCTGAAATCTTAGAGGGGTGTTCCCCGTCCAAGTGGGTGTTAGTGCAGTGAAACCCGTCCCTGGATAAACGTGGTACCCGCGTACGGGCCCGCCAAAATTTTTTTCGGGTACGCTCATAACTCGGAAATCTGAGAAGATAGAACGCTGTAGAGCAATGTTCCCCGTCCAAGTAGGTATTAACGAGTTCAAACCCTGTCCGCGGGTAATCGTGGTACCTACGTACGGGCCCTTGAAAGTTTCTTTCGGATAAGTTGCTAACTCGAGAAAGTGAGAAGCTAAAAGACTGGGATTTTGAAGGGATGTTTCCTGACAGTCTTGGCGGCCAGTTTGAAATTTTTTTAGCTAGAAGCATTTGCCGGAAAAACCAGTGCCGTTGGCGACAAAAATCTTCGGGGAGCTATGCAAAAAACGCATCATCGCACGGGCAGCCCGTGCGTTGGCCAATTCTTATGAAACTGATGCTTTGGTAAAGCTGTTCCATGAAAACCCGCCATCAGACTTTCCTATTTATGAAACTGATGCTTAGGTAAAGCTGAGAGCGAATAATTTTGATGAGGTGGGCAAAAACAGGGTAGAATGGATGCCTGGGGATGAAGTCAGCTTTTGCTCCGGTGAGATTTTGAAGACAAAAAAACAAAGGTATAACTGTTGTGCCTGTGGAATTGTCTGCAATTCTTGTGTAATCCAGTAGGACTTATTTGCCCTCAGCTTCACCTAAGCACAAACCTCATAAAGGCAAGGACCGCTTACTGAAGAGGGTTTTTGCAAGACAAATCCTACTCGCATAAGCTCAGTTTTTGTTTGCTTTTGCTTTTTCTGCTTTTCGTTACAGACTCCAATTCTTTGATTTTGCTTTTTTCCTTTTTATTCACAAATTCAGGCTTGTTTTAATTTACTTTTCTTTGTAGTGCCGTGTTGGCTTATTTTCCTCTTTACAGCTATCGCAGTTCTTGCTTCGAACTCCTGTCAACACCCTTCCTCTCCTGTATCCTGCCGTCAATCCCTGCCTCCAGAGCCGCATCGTGGCACTCACCACCTCCAACCACTGTCACCGTTTTTCGTCCTGAAATCCTAACCAGTAACTTCATTTCTCCCTACTACCCTAGCCTCAATCGCGCCCTCAGAGCTGTATCTGAGCAACTACTAACCAGCATCTCCCAACCACCTCCAATGCTCCCGCTCATTACTCCTCGGCCACGCGATCCAGCCGCTAAACACTGGGCAGTGCTACCCAGCGCGTCTGGCAAAGTTCCAGCGAGCGGCGCCGCGAAATAGTGTTGGTAGAGATGATAGAGCAAAGTGCTGGAAGGCCCAAGCCCCCAGATCATCAGCCGAGCCGATCCGAGTTTTTACGCGTTTTTTGCAGCTAGACAATGCAGATAAATAGCAACACGCACCAAACCGGCGCGTTCATGCGTTTTGTGCAGTTCAGCCCAACGAACGACTGCCTATTAATGATTTTCACTGCTTTGTACTTTAGTCTGTGTAAAATAGTTCAAACATTGGAAAACAGTTAAAAATTTCATGCACCAGCGCATGAAAGCTGAATTCGAAACCATGAGGGGTGAATATCTTTATCCCGAGTTAACAGTTTACCCGCCAAAATTTTCACGCAGCCGTAGGTGATACTCAAGAGCGCGGGAACGATGAATTTGAATGAGTAAGGTTGAGCGTGGGCAGGGGGTCATTACCTTAAAATTCCAGCTCCCTAGACCTCGTGGTTCCCGAGAAATTAACTTACCCGTAAAAAACTTTCACGGGGCCGTACGCGTTACTCGCGGGTACGGGGGAGCTGAATTTAAATTTGCGGGGTCACACGTAGGTGGGGAACT